TGGGAAGACGATTTTAAAATATTTCCCTATATACTCCTAGGTAAAACTTTGATCAGCCATTTTGGGCCCACCCTACCCCCGGGGGTCATGATTTGAACAAATTTGAATCTACACTACCTGAGGATGATTCCACATGAGTTTCATCTTTCCTGGCCCAGTGGTTCTTGAGAAGAAGATTTTTAAAGATTTTTCCTATATATTCCTATGTAAAACTTTGATCGGCCATTGTAGCCCCACCCTATCCTCATGGGTCATGATTTGAACAAACTTGAATCTACACTACCTGAGGATGATTCCACATGAGTTTCATCTTTCCTGACCCAGTGGTTCTTGAGAAAAAGATTTTTAAAGATTTTTCCTATATACTCTTATGTAAAACTTTGATCGGCCATTGTGGCCCCACCCTACTCCCGGGGGTCATCATTTGAAGAAACTTGAATTTACACTACCTGAGGATGCTCCCATATGAGTTTCATCTTTCTTGGCCTAGTGGTTTTTGAGGAGAAGATTTTTTAAAAGTGCCATTAATTTTTCACTAATTCATAATTATCTCCCCTTGGAAGAGGGTGTGGCCCTTCATTTGAACAAACTTGAATTCCCTTTACCTAAGGATATTTTGTGGCAAGTTTGGTTAAAATTGGCCCAGTGGTTCTTGAGAAGAAGAGGACGACGACGACAACGACGACAACAGACAACGGACAAATTTTGATCAGAAAAGCTCACTTGAGCCTTCGGCTTAGGTGAGCTAATTACACCAATTTCAGATAAAGAATTGTATACTTAACTGTTTGAAGAAAAATAGAATGCTTCACAGAATAAAATAAATAAATGAAAAAAATATTAGTGAACTTTTTTCTTCAAGGTTTGACTTTTCTACTTGCACATAACACCTGTATAAAGTTACAGATGTATATATTTATTCAAAGTTATTGGTTATGGTATGCTTTTATCAGATGAAGTTGAGATCTGAAGAATAAAAAAATCGTGAGAAACTGAAACGAGGAAAAAAATGCTGAAAAAGGTTAGGAAAAGGGCTGAAAAACAAAAACTTCATCCTCAAGCCTGTGAAAAATTAAAGTATTGTGTAGTGTCCGTAACACTTAGATTTGGTTAATTGACTTCGTTGATCAGTGTACCTACATTCTAAATAGTTTCATTTTTAATGAATTAGATAACTTTTCTTCTGCACTTCAGTTATATGATAGTTATGTGAAAAAAGGAAGTTTCTGGAGTGTTTTAAATAATGTAGATGTTTCTTGGTTTTGCATGCTGATTAGTTTTTTGGACCCCTAATATGCATTTAAATTTGAGTTTTCTGTAACTTACCATCTTTGATGGCCAACACCAATGATTTTTTAGCTGAACTCACTAATTCACTAAACTCACTAATTCTAAGAAGGTCAAAAATTGCTAAGTGAAGGCCAGAGTAAACAATGTTGTTTCATACAAGTTTGACAAACTGATGGGAGACTTATTATGTGATTAATCAAAGATCGTGTAATTGGTGAATGAGCGCCTTTTGTGGGGTTTATCATCAGCTTGTAAAAAAACAAAGCTCCAATGTGAATTTCACAAAACCGTTTATAATGTTTCAGATCCTTTAGATACTCTACTTTTTAGAAAAAATATTTTTTGGGCAAAATAAAGACATTAATTTTTTACCCCAAAGTGCAACCTTACTGTTCCCTTTATTGTGTTTCACCCGCAATCGCAACTTCTCGGGCCTTTCCGACTAGCGGAAAAATGACCTCGAATGTATATGGTAGACGCCATTACAACCCTCTCTTTTCACGATCTTTGAAATAAATGCATGGAGTCCTTTTGTCTGTGGAATATGGGGTTTAAATTTATTCAATGTAATGATATTACTTAAAACATACTATAGAGGGGATTTCTAACTCAGTCTATCCTATATTTGAATAAACAGGAAATGTATAAATTTTTAACATCCGGTGATGTTAATGCATTCGAGGTTGTTTTTCCGACCTCTGACGGAAAGACCCGAGATGATGCGACTGGTTTCACCCGCTATGTATGGTGTTATCAGAAAAATTGGACAATTCAACCTCCCTGTAGAATGTCAACTTGATTTGTTCGATAAAAAGGTTTTACCAGTGTTACTCTATGGTGAAATCTGGGGTTTTGAAAACCTAGATATTATTGAACGTGTTCATTAAAAATTTTTGAATCATATTCTGTACTTGAAAAGTAGTACCCCGGATTATATGGTTTATGGTGAAACAGGACGTCTCCCACTATCTGTCCTTGTTTATTCAAGAATAGTCTCATACTGGTGTAAATTATTGAATAGCACAGATAAGAAAATTTCATGTATATTATATCAATATCTAATAGCTAACTCACAATCTGAAATTGTTAATCATTCTTGGATTGACCGTATTCATCGTATTTTTGACTCATGTGGACTATCTCGTATTTGGAATGAACAGTTTTATCATAATTCTAATCAAGAATGGGTAACTACTGTTCGCTGTTGTTAAACAAAGATTACAGGATCAATTTATACAAAAATGGCATTCTGATATTAATAGTTCTTTTAAAGGTTTTTATATAAAAATTTTAAAACAAATTTTGAGTGTGAAAATTATTTAAGTATTTTGCCATTAAGATTAGAAAAATACTTGCCTAATGCCGTACTACATGTACTAATCACCGTCTACCAGTTGAGCTGGGAAGATGAACATGTATACCATTAAATGAAAGATTATGTACACTTTGTAATGCTAAACATGTTGCTGATGAATTCCATTTTTTACTTGGATGTACTGCACTGTCAAACATCCGGAAAAAGTATATTAATGAATACTACTTTACTAGACCAAATATTCTTAAATTTTCTCAACTAATGACAAAACAAGATGCCATCTCGCTTAAAAAACTCTGTATGTTTATATTAAAAATATATATGATTTAGTCTGTCCCCCATAATTTTTCCACTCAATTATTTCATTATTACATGTATCATACGTGTTTTTTCTCTCCTTTTTTCATTTTCATTTTTTCTTTTTCTCTCATTTCATTTACTTATTATGTATATCATATATTTATACCTCTGACCTGATGTAAATATTTTTCATTGTCCCCATGTACCATGTATTTTAAATGGTTTTGAGTGAATAAATGAACTTGAAATTTATTAGAAAGCCAAACAAACCGATACTTTATATTACAGGTAAAACTGACCAAGCATCTTACATATTTTCTACAAATATAATACACATAAGGGGCCTCCCAGTACTAAACTAGAGGTACTGTGAGCGATGAGCTCACTAAATGATACCCCCCGCCTCCCATATGGTTTTAACTGGTGAAAAAGTCCATGTTTTCCTGTGGCCGGGAAACCCAAAATATGTGTCGGATCAAAAAGTAAAATAGGAGGTGCACAATGGCAATATGTAATAAAGATTCTGTAAAAGTTTCATCAAATTTCATTCAGTGGTATGAGAGAAGTTGCGGATAAGAGATGGGTACTTTAAAGCGTAACAGACGGACGGACGGACGGACAGACGGACGGACGTACAGACGGAAATACCGATTACTATATACCCTCCTGCTTTTCAAGCGGGGGGTATAATGATAAAGAAAAAAGGCGTCTAAAAATTCTGCAACAGATGGTTATATTATTGATCATATGCGACTCATTCTTAAATCGTATTTATACTTTCATATATGTTTTTTTCCCCAATTTTACTATGGTCCTTAATATCGGGTGGGTCAGACAGACGGAAGTGGTCACCTTTACAAGTGGATAAGGTCCCTTAGTTTTCCACCATTAGACTTAAAATTGTTTCCAAATACATGAGCTAGTTACAAAACCAAAGCAATCGTTTATTTTATTGTTTGTTTTATACTTTTTGTGGAAACTTTGGAAGTGTACGCATCATTACCGCTACATTTTCAAAATTTTCATTATCGCTACATACTAGTAGTCATTACCGCTACAAACTAGAGGTACTGTGAGCGATGAGCTCACTAAATGATACCCCCCGCTTCCCATATGGTTATAACAGGTGAAAAAGTCCATGTTTTCCTGTGGCCGGGAAACCCAAAATATGTGTTGGATCAAAAAGTAAAATAGGAGGTGTACAATGTCACTTTGTAACAAAGATTCTGTGAAAGTTTCTTCACATCTAATTCAGTGGTATGAGAGGAGATACGGATAAGAGATGGGTACACCAAAGCGTAACAGACGGACGGACAGACAGACGGACGGACGTACAGACGGACGGACGGACGGAATTAACGATTACTATATACCCTCCCGCTTTTCAAGCGGGGGGTATAAAAAGGATACATTACCGCTACATTGCCTCTTTTGTTGACCATGCGTGTACAGATTGATTTAAAGTTCAACATATGCATGCATAAGACCTGTTTACCCTTTGCATAGTTATGTTCAAATCTCCGATCTACTCCACACTTTTGAGTTTTACTTACTAGTATACGAAATATACATCCATCGATAACTAATCCTGCATTGCCGTGATTTTTCAAAACTTCTAAATAGTAGCCATGACGTGTGACGCGTAAAATACTCATTTTTATTAGAATTCAGAACCAGATTGTACTTCGCTACATGGTGAGTGAATTATGTTGAATGGAACTCATATTCCGGACCATTGCTGGCTGATTCGTTATGTAGTTGTTTTCGGCAATAATCTTGATAAAATGTAGCGCTAATGATCGCCCAAAAACTTGAAAAAAAATGTAGTGGTAATGCGGTGAAATTTTTGGTAATGTAGCGGTAATGTTGAAACCCCCCACCCCCACCCCATTGGACAAATCTACTACACATAACTTTATGATTATTAGACAGACACATAACATTTACAACAAGTTTTTTTTTTAATTTTTCGAAGAAAAATATTTACAGGGGTTTTTCTTTCCAGAAAAAGGGTACATGTACCATAGAGCAAAGCAAAGGTAGTACAAACGTATCGTATATGATGATATCATTTTTCTTATTATGTACAAAAGACATTATGTACAAAAGACATGAACGTTCTGTTTATGACAAAAGTCACTGAATCTTGAACAGAAGTAAGCGTACATAGATGACTGAAGTGTCATAAGATATGTTTCTTGCATGTCGCTGATCTGATCCGCTGAGGAGCAGTTGTTGTATCTAAATCTGTCATCATCCGTCTCCCTTGTCAGAAAATTTCCTTTAAAAAAACAACAAACTTTAGAGATAATTTCATAAAACAGTAATATCCAGAATTACATGTAGGTGTTTGCCTCTAAATGCACTCTCCTTCGTAATATGGTAATCAAGGAAGGAACCATAATTTTATAAATCACACAATGTATATATAAATTAAAGTTTATCTTTTAAAAAAAAATAGGTAAGCTAGCGCCGTGGCAATTTTTAAACACAAAAAGGAAGGTTCTTGATCATCTGGTTTATTTTGCTGAATTCTTTAATGTTTAACGAGGCTGGAGTCTGATAGTTAGAGTTACAGGAGGGCTGTTAATAACAACAATTATAAGGAACGTTTTGTTGTGGAAATAGTGAAAGAAAATGTTAGGAACACAAGGTTAGTAAAATTTTGAGATGACAGCTAGTATAAAACATGGAGAAATAAATCGAAAAACAATAAATACCAGTTTTTTCAATTGGTGGCACTGTAGCTTTCCGGTCTGTCAAAATATTTTTTTTCGGAGAGCAGCTAGCTGTCTATATATCTGTCTGTCCGCAAAAACATTAACCTTGCCCATAACTTTAGAGTGGGTGCAGCTATGGTTTTCATATTTTACAGGCATATCCTTGTGACAAGACCTTTCTTTGGGAACCACCAAATTTGACTTCTTGACCTTGACCTTGGAGTTTGACCCACTTTTCCCAAATTTGCTAATCTTTATCCCTAGTCATACTTTTGAACAATTGATACTGGGCCTTCCATATGTCACATGTATATTCTATGTGACAAGGTATTCCTTTAAGTACTAACAATTTTGACCTTTTGACCTTAAAGTTTGACCTACTTTTTAAAAAACTTTATCCCTGACTATAACTTTTGAGCAGTAAGCACTAGGGCTTTTGTATCACAGATGAATTTCTTGTGGTGACGAGATCCTCCTTGGATACCAATAATTTGGACATTTTGACCTTAGAGTTTGACCCACTTTAAAAAAAAACTTTTTACCTTGGCCATAAGTTTTGAACAGTAAGCATTAGGGCTTTCGTATTTCAAAGGTTTATTCCTTATGACAAGATCTCCCTTGGATACCATTAATTTTGACCTTGGGGGTTGACTTGCATTTGAGAAACTTAAGTCAAACATGAAGGTCAAGGAGTAAAAATCAGAGCATGCTCAGAAACATCTTGTCACATGTAATGCATATGTGAAATATGAAAGCCCTACTTCTCCTAAATCAAAAGTTATAAGGAAAGATAACATTTTTGAAGAGTATGTTAAACTTCAAGGTAAAGATCAAAGGGTCATGGTATATTTAGAAAGGCCTTGATACAGGTAATGTACATGTGAAATATGAAAGTACTCTCTCTTCTCATTCAAAAGTTATGACCAAGGTTTAAGTTTTTTATGACGGATGGACAGACTGAGAAACGAATGAGATTTAATGTCACCTCGCATTCGCGAAAGTGGAGGACATTTGACAGAGAGAGAAAGAGAGGGGGAGAAAGACAGGAAGACAGACACAAGCAGACATACAAGTACTGATGGCTCAGATGAGCTGTTGTGTATCAGCAAAATTAATGGAATTTAGATTTACACTTTCCATAAAATTCAGATCGATGCACAAACGAATTATTCTTATAAGCACGTATTTCATTTTTGGTACCTGTGCAGTTGGGCATAGTCCCATCCGGTGCCCATGTACCACTCGCTCCACAGACGTACCACTGGTGATGGCTGAATCTCACATCCAAACTGTACTCAGGCCCACAGAAGACGAGGCAAAACTCACCATAATCAGTTTTCCATCCATTACACACTTTTGCTCCATTTTGGGGAATATTTAGATCCTTGCAAGGATGAGCTAGGATATGATTAAAAAAGAAAAGATTTTTTCCACTATTTTTATTTTAAGTATCAGATAAGTAAAACAATTGCAGAATATCTAAAACAATAGAAAAAGTATATCTCGTGCAACTTACGTCGGACATTTACATTAAATAAACAGCTTGTTCGCAAACCATTTGAGGGTTTCAGAGCCACATACTGAACTGTATAATCTCCCCATGGAAATTTCCAGCTGTTTTCAGGATAATTAGTTGAAACAAATAAAGTCTTCCCAACGGGGTCATAAAAGTTGGGTGCTGTCCAGTTAATGAAAGTTTCAGGTGTTGAAGAAAAGACCATCTTGTTGTCAAGGCAACCACTCATCACTGGAGGCTGGATATCTGTTTGCAATTGCATGGTTAGTATGCCGTGTGTATAAAAATGAATACTGTAGTTAGAAAAATCCAAGAATACAATTAAGAATAGTTTACTAAACAGACCTGTTTCACAATTTTTCCCCGTGAAGCTTTTTGTACAGACACAGTTATAGCGATCCAAACCATCCACACAGGTTCCATTGTTTTGACAAGGGTTACTTGCACAGGAATTCACAACTATATGTGGTAATAGCGACCAATCTTTATTATTCTATTGCTCACAATTCATAAAGCAAAATTACATTCATTTATGAAACACACTGTGCGAATCTCGATAAAATTGACTTGCTTTTAAATTTAAATTATTATTTGTCTAACACGAACTTAAACATATAAGAATTTATTGTAGTTTACTTACATGCACACCGTGGTTTACGTCCACTCCAGATACTATTGATTTGACATCTCCTAGTTCTGGTTCCACCAGTCAAATTATAGTACTGATTGCAGTGATACGATAGTGTACTGCCGTAGGTATATGTGGATCCTGTCACATGTCCATTGCTTAGTTTACCTGGATCTCCACATGTTATTTCTATATTAAGGGGTTAAAATGCCAAGTGAAATCATGAATTATCTTTCAACTCAATAAATTAATTTAAATCAATTTAAATACCTACGGTTCTTACAACAACTCCCATACCATCCTGTGTGACAATTGCAGCCAAAATTAAGGCGGTGTGTTCCTTGGTAACAAAATGTGTTGCAGTCTCCCCTTTCACTCCCCATATCATAGCTTGCACAAGCAGAAAAGCTTCTGTTACAGATGTCATAGACCCATACGTTTCTGCTCCTGTATCTACTCCCCCCACCACATTCAGCACTGCATTCTGACCACCCTTCCCAAGGTAACCAACGACAACCACATTGGTCCCAGGTCGGAGCAATACCAGACTCTGATGAATCCATCAAATGTATCAAAATAAACATCACAATCATCATTTTGGTCTTTAGGTAAACTCACAGTATGTAAAACCTAACGTTCTCTTAAATATATATAGTTGGTTCTTATCTGACATGGAGTGTCAGGTGATTTTAATGTTAAAAAAAAGCTTATCTTTTAGAACGACGCTGAAGCCTTCATAAAACTCAGAACAAGATAACTGAACCTGTATTTTTATGGATTTGGATGAATCTTTCAATTATAAATAGGAACTACGCAAAATAGTGAAATAGGTGGCGTTGGGTGGACGGGGATTCAATTCTACATTGTAAATAGTGAATTTATGAGTGATTTTCACGTAGGCAGTGGCATAATTGTGCTTTTAGTTAAGCACTCTACAGTTAACTGTCATTTCAATTTTAAGGTTAAAATAAATTTATGATACCATTAGAACCAGTGATCACTTTGTTTATAATATCAGTATGCCAATATGGAACTGTTCTGTAGCAATAGTACCTTCTCCAGACTTTCCAGCAAATTTGAAAAATATATCGCATACTTGAAGCCGAGCATGCTAGTGAAAAGGACTAGTTTTCGAGAGCGCTAGCAATAAGGTTTTTCTTGTTCAAGCATATTCCAGAAATGCACCTGCAATCCATTCGTAAATTATCGTGCAAATGAAAGTCGTAAAATACTTATTTTAGAATTGTCGAAACATGAAAAATGACACTATTTATCGAGATATTCATGCATTCTGAAAGTGGGGTCTTTGAAAATTAAAATTTTCTCTCAATGCGTCAGTTGCTTATAGGAGCTGATTCAAAGCCTAAACTTATTGTTAAATCGGGTATAACAAATTGCTACGGAAGCCCATTTGAATTCGATATGATGATTTGAATTCGTTATTACGAATTTAATCTGTTGTAACAATGTTTTGAATTTGTTAAAATATATCAATACGACTTAAATAACGATTTGTCGAATTCGTTTTAACGAATTTAATTCGTTATAACAAATAAGAGACGTCGCTTTAACGAATTTAGTTCGTTATAACAAAATAACGAATTCAACAAATTTATTATAACAGATTAAATTCGTAATAACAATTCAAAGAGATTGTTATAACGAATTATATTCGACAATTTGTCATATCGAATTCAAATAAAAATTTTGTCCCCCGCGTGACGCAGTGGTTAGGCCAAAAACACCTAAAAAAAAAATAGGGTAGGTAGGTTGGGATTTCTTTTATTGTACAAAATGAATTCATAATACCTACCACTGATTTGCATGTGGCATTTAATGTACTAGTCAACATTGAGGTTCCGACAGTAATGAAAATCAAACCAATATATTTTTAAATAAAAAATATTATAAACACAAACTTATTTTATTTTTGGTAAATAGAAAGAAAACTTTGAGATGAACATCTTTTTTTTAAATCCATGATTGTAAATGAAATTACTAATTCTTGGTCTATTCAATTGTAAATTTTAATTCATGTGGAAAGATCCTCTGGTAGCGTAGATTAAAATTTGGTGAATTCAGGGGTAGGGTGGGGCCTCAATGGACGCTCAAAGTTTTACAAAGGAATAAAGAAGATGGGCGCATTTGGCGAGTAATCTGCAGGAATCATTTGTACGAAACATTTATGGTTTAAATGTCCATGATTTGGTTGGATAAACATAGCTGGTCAGATTTTTCAAGCACATCCATAGGGTTTTTTTCATTTAGTTTGAAAGACCGTGTGAAATTGTAACATTTATGTCCGTTTTTCCTTGGGGTACTGTAACATAATAATGTTTCACAAAAAATAAACACCTTAAATATTTAATGCATAGATGCATGATACATGTACATTATAGAATAGAAGATTAGATTCTGAATTGATTTCGCTCGAGAATCAAACTAAACCAAAATTTATCTAATTCAAAATTTTAATACATAAGGACATCAAATGAAACTGACAAAAAAAAAATGGTTGTTTGCATGAAAAAAAAAAAATTAACGCCCCATGCCAGGCTCGAACCAAAAAATTTTCGCTTCGAGTGCAGCGAACAGGTAGCCCAACTTACTGAGCTATCACCGCTACACGTATACTGATAATTTTAAAAGGATAAAGAAACACCACATTCACAAATTTGGATTTTGGGGGGAAAAGTTAATTTTTCGAGGTCTCTGGGTCTTCTCTCCATTTTTTAAAAAAGTGTATTCGTTTCTTTGAATTTAAATACACATGAATAACGTTTCAAAATCATGGAGAGAAGACCCAGACATAGAGAAATTTTAGAAAAACGTGTCTAAAAATGTACCTTTTTGTACCAAATGTCTGATCTGGCCAATTTTCAAGTTATTTTTTAGCTAAACAGAGCTCAATTTCAGGAAAATATTTTTCTTTCCTGTTGCACAGGAACCCGATAAATAAAAAAAAATGTTAAAATTTCATGTGACATGTCGATAAAATTTTCACTTTTCAAGTACGCCCAGATTCCTGCCGAATGCCCATCAAAAGCGCCCACGTTCTTTAAAAAAAAAACTTCAAAATCTCTTCTAAAAACAACAAAGCAATGATTGGTCATATTTATGTGAAATTATCCGCAGTGGGGTTAGTTCAAGTCTCTTGAAATCATAACCCCTGGGATAGGGTGGAGCCGTAAAATACGATAACATAGTTTAGGAAAGGAGTTTTTAAGAAAAATCATCTACGGAACAGCAAAGCCATGATTGGTCATATTCATATAGAGACATTAATTATACTCAGGTGTTGTCAAGTCAAGTTTATTCAAATCATTTAAAAATCAGTTACAGATAGTAAAAAATGAAAGCATCCTTAGTTAGTGTAGATTCAATTTTGTTCAAATCATATCCCCTACTCCCTTTTAGGTGTAGGTCGGTACCGCTTATGCATTAAAGCTTTTCAATACTAAACGGATTTTTGCTTTTTTCCTATCCACAGTGCTCATTTGATCGATGTTGCCCCTGGGCCTCTTGTGTGTTTTTTAAAATAAATCTACTTCTCAATAACAGCAAAGCAATGATTGGTCATACTTATATGGAACCTCCTCAGATAGTGTAGTTTCAGATTTGTTTAAATCATGACCCCGGGAGTAGGAGGGGACCACAATGAACGTTCAAATTTGTTGGGAAAACAGTCAAAGAAATATATAAGCATCCTTACTTAGAGTAGCTTCACTTTTGTTCAAATCATAACCCCCTCCTTTTGGTACCACTTTTGAATTTAAACTTTTCAACACTAAACTGAGTTTTGCTTTTTTTTTTCCTAGCCACAGTGCTCAGGTGAGCAATATGGCCCAGTGGCTCTTGTATTTATCAAAATTTTTAAGACACGAGCAATTAACGAAATTTTATCTTGATTTTTTTTGTGGGGAGGGGGTATTGGCATTCATATTTTCAAGGTTTATTCCTGGTGAAAGACCTTTCTTTGGGTACCACTAAATTTGACCTTAAGAGTTTCACCCACTTTTACAAAATATTACCACAGTTTAATCATGATCGCAACTTTTGAACAGTTAGTGCTACGGTTTTCACCCTTCATATGTGTATTCATTGTAACAAGACTTTTCAAGGGGTATCAGTATTTATTAATCTTTCAACCTTGACCTTCAAATTTGACCCACTTACCTTGGCCATAACTTTTGAGCAGTTAGCACTAGGGTTTTCATATTTCACAGATACATTCTATGTGACAAGATGAAGACTTTCCTTTGGATACTAACAATTTTGGCTTAAAGTTTTCAACTTTGACCTTTGGAGTTGGACTTGCACCTGAGAAACTTCAACCCTCGCTATTAGCTACCATACGGAGGCATCAGTGTTTCACATACACATCTTGTTTGCAGCCAGTATTGATTCATTGCAAACTAATATTGGCAAGACCAAATATTTTTTACTCCCCTTCACCCATAAATGTTATATGCTAAAATTAGTTGAAAACGGTTCAGGGGTTTTAAAGAAGAAGCTGAAAATGTTGTTTACACAAGAGGGACGTCGCACTATAGGGGATGAAAACAGATAGCAATAGGTCAGGTCACCTGAATAATGTTTATCTATTCAAGACATAATTTTGCATCACATTATTCACTGAGGAATAATTTAGAGCAGAAAATATTACTAAAAAGATATCCTAGTGATCATATCACACATTGTTTACAAAATAAATGCTAAGGACTACTTTGGCTTAGTTATTATGACTTCATGCCCTCTTTATTATATATAACTGATATTTTACATTTTTTTGCATCAATATTAATTAAGTAACATCGTGCTTTTGCTTTTCCTTAAGTTGCAAATGAATTGAAAGATGTATTACCTACTTCGAATTTAACTATTATGTGATGTTGATGAGCAGAGATACAGTGTCTATTTATAAATCTGTTGTTCACCAGATACTTAGTATTACTTCTAGTTTGAATTTATCTGAAATTGTAAGGCAGCAGGATTTAAGATGGTTGCGTTTTTATGTTAATTTTGCTTGTTTTGATGAATTCATCAGAAGCAGGCCGTGCCCCCACCTGGGATTCCTGTAACTGTTACTGGGCTGAATGGCAGGGTTGGTCAGAATGCAGTGCTGCCTGTGGGGGAGGGCGACGGTACAGAACAAGAGAAGTGTGGAAATATGCTACTCCCCAATGTGAAGGATTTAAGGCTTGTGCAAGCAACGACATGGGCAGTGAATGGGGAGACTGTAACAATATCTGTCACCAAGGGACGTACCATTCCTATGGCTGTAGATGTCATGCAGGATGGTATGGGAGGTGTTGTAAAAATCGTATGTACAATTTTTTTTCTATCAAGAAATTATTTGTATTTTTATGTCCCCGTAACCGAAGATTCGTGATATATATATATATATATATATATATATATATATATATATATATATATATATATATATATATATATATATATATATATATATATATACTAGTAGTTTTTGCCCTGTACTTCCGTCTGTCGGTTTGTAAAAACTGTAATCTTGCTCATAACTTGGGACGGGTGGGGCTTATTTTGGCATTCATATTTCACCGGTGTATTCTATCTGACAAAACCTTTCTTTGGGTACCTCCAAATTTGACCTCTTGACCTTGGAGTTTGACCCATTTTTAGAAAAAAAATATCACACTTTAACCCGGTCAGAACTTTTGAACAGTTGGTGCTAATGCTTTCATACTTCAAATCATCACATGTTTATTCATTGTGACAAGTCCTTTCCGTGGTTATGGATATTTTTGTCCTTTTGACCTTGACCTTAGAGTTGACCCTCTTTTCAAAAATTAACCATGGTCGTAACTTTTGAACAGTTAGAATTATAGGGATTTCATATTTCATGGATGTATTCCTCGTGACAAAACCTTCCTTTTGATACCAACAAATTTTACCTTGATCTTTGGAGTTTAACATATATTTGAGAAAATTCAACTCTCGCTTTAACCCCTTTCGTGGCAAAGATTTTTAGCATTAAGATAAATTGCTATCAAAAATTTAATGCTTTTTTTCTGGTATTCATTGTAATTTTTTAAAATACTAATGTATATATATTTCGAAAGCAAGCATTACAAAGTTTCTGAAAATGACTAAAAAAACATTCTTTCCGTTGCCATGCAAACAAAATCACTTAAAAATCTCTATTAAATCAACAATTAGTCATTTTAGTTTTTTGTTTAGTAAAGTATTAACAAAGAGTAAATTTTACTGTTGAAACATAGCATATTGCATACCTGAAACATGTTTTATTTATATTCTTAACAAGATAATTATTTTCTAACACATCTTGTTGAGAAAAAAAAACTGATTTTGATAAAACATATTTTGTCACGAAAAATGGATAAGTGATTGTACCACGTGGATTTCAAACGCAGTAAGTATAACTAGATTAATACACCTTGTTTAACTATTTAAGATTCTAAAAAAACTGGTAAATCAAATGAGAAAAAAAGTTAAGAACAAATCTTCTTTGCAATTGTTTCTTCTTTCTAATGATACAAAAATTATTCCGATATTCACAGTATTAATGAAGTTATGTATCTATGTGTTTACACTAAACATGTTTTTCACAACAGATGCGTAGAAATGCGTATATGCCAAATACAATGTAAGAGGTTAAGCTGTCATACGCCACGAGGGTATCAGTGTTTCACTAACACATCTTTTTATGCGCCCGAATCAATAGATCCGGGGCGTATTTTGTTCTTGTCCTGTTTGTCTGTTTATCGGTTTGTCTGTCTGTTGTCAACTTTAACCTTCGCCATAACTTTTGAACCTTGAAAGATAGGAACTTCATATTTGGTATGCATACTCCACTAATTAGTTTCTTTCAAATGGCAACATGGTCAATGACATTGTGACCTTGACTGTGACCTATATGCTAAAAATAGCTTTTCGAACTTTATTGCCACCGGGCGCATAGTGTTTCTTATTCATAAAAAGTAATAAATATTTCATCGCTGCATCTTAATAATTTTAGAAAAAACATGTGGAGATCCAGGTGAAATAAACAATGGACAGGTGACCGGATCCACATTTACATACGACAGTACACTATCGTACCACTGCAATCAGTACTATAATTTGACTGGTGGAACCAGAACTAGGAGATGCCAAATCAATAGTATCTGGAGTGGTCGGAAACCCCGATGTGCATGTGAGTAAACTTTGAACCAAATCTTTCTTACATTCAAAGTTATGTCAAGCAAAATTGAAAACTAAGATTAAATCATTATTATTTTTATTCAATATCTCTTGGATTAATTTCAACTCTAAAGGTCCACAAAGATCCTATTGTACGCTGTTATTTTAAAAATGAAATAGGGTCGGGTTTTTTTTCTTTTATAAAATATTTCCCTGTTTTGCATCACATGTAGTTGTGAATTCCTGTGCTAGTAACCCATACCAAAATAATGGAACCTGTGTGGATGGTTTGGATCGATATGACTGCGTTTGTACAAAAAGCTTCACAGGGAAAAATTGTGAAACAGGTTAGCATGCTTTTACGTTCCCACAAATTTCTTGCAAAGCTACTTACATATTTTTTGTACAATCATAAACTTAAAGTACACTTAATTAAACTGCAAACAGATATACAACCTCCAGTGATGAGTGGTTGCCATGACAACAAGACGGTCTATTCTTCAAAACACGAAACTTTCCTTAACTGGACTGCACCTAGCTTTTACGACCCTGTAGGAAAGGAGTTAACGATTTCAACTAATTATCCCCAAAACAGCTGGAGTTTTCCATGGGGAGATTTTACAGTTCAGTATGTGGCTTTGAAACCCTCAAACGGTTTGCGAACAAGCTGTGTTTTCAATGTAAAAGTCCGACGTAAGTTGAATCCCATGATTTGATCCGCTTCATATTCAAATTTTCTGATAATTTTAAATTGAAGAAAATAAAAATGGATGGAAAACAGATTATGGTGAGTTTTGTCTAGTCTTCTGTGGCCCTGAGTACAGTTTGGATGTTAGATTCAGCCATCACCAGTGGTATGTGTGTGGGGCGAGTGGTACATGGGCACCAGATGGAACGATGCCTAACTGTACAGGTACATGCATTATTCCCCTTTTAAAATTTGCTGTGAATCCTACTGTACCTTTGAAAGAAATAACTTTTTTATACCAAATTTTCAAAACGTGCGAATGGATTGAAAATTAAATTGCGTGGTCAAAATTTCCCAAGAGCAGCGCCTCTCCTCCACTTTTTCCCAGATCTATATTTATAATTTTTTAATTAACAAATTTTTATTGAAATGCGGCCCCTCCCTCCTTTTTGGTTATAGTATAGTCAAATAAAGGTAATGTATTTTTGAGTACAAAAAATTGGTACCGAAAAAAAGGAAGTTTGTTCAGGTACATGTAAGTTGATTTTTTTTCTCTGACTGCCCCAACTTTAAAAAACGATGATACAAAAAATATACACTATAGGGGATGAAAACAGATAGCAATAGGTCAGGTCACCTGAATAATGTTTATCTATTCAAGACATAATTTTGCATCACATTATTCACTGAGGAATAATTTAGAGCAGAAAATATTACTAAAAAGATATCCTAGTGATCATATCACACATTGTTTACAAAATAAATGCTAAGGACTACTTTGGCTTAGTTATTATGACTTCATGCCCTCTTTATTATATATAACTGATATTTTACATTTTTTTGCATCAATATTAATTAAGTAACATCGTGCTTTTGCTTTTCCTTAAGTTGCAAATGAATTGAAAGATGTATTACCTACTTCGAATTTAACTATTATGTGATGTTGATGAGCAGAGATACAGTGTCTATTTATAAATCTGTTGTTCACCAGATACTTAGTATTACTTCTAGTTTGAATTTATCTGAAATTGTAAGGCAGCAGGATTTAAGATGGTTGCGTTTTTATGTTAATTTTGCTTGTTTTGATGAATTCATCAGAAGCAGGCCGTGCCCCCACCTGGGATTCCTGTAACTGTTACTGGGCTGAATGGCAGGGTTGGTCAGAATGCAGTGCTGCCTGTGGGGGAGGGCGACGGTACAGAACAAGAGAAGTGTGGAAATATGCTACTCCCCAATGTGAAGGATTTAAGGCTTGTGCAAGCAACGACATGGGCAGTGAATGGGGAGACTGTAACAATATCTGTCACCAAGGGACGTACCATTCCTATGGCTGTAGATGTCATGCAGGATGGTATGGGAGGTGTTGTAAAAATCGTATGTACAATTTTTTTTCTATCAAGAAATTATTTGTATTTTTATGTCCCCGTAACCGAAGATTCGTGATATATATATATATATATATATATATATATATATATATATATATATATATATATATATATATATATATATATATACTAGTAGTTTTTGCCCTGTACTTCCGTCTGTCGGTTTGTAAAAACTGTAATCTTGCTCATAACTTGGGACGGGTGGGGCTTATTTTGGCATTCATATTTCACCGGTGTATTCTATCTGACAAAACCTTTCTTTGGGTACCTCCAAATTTGACCTCTTGACCTTGGAGTTTGACCCATTTTTAGAAAAAAAATATCACACTTTAACCCGGTCAGAACTTTTGAACAGTTGGTGCTAATGCTTTCATACTTCAAATCATCACATGTTTATTCATTGTGACAAGTCCTTTCCGTGGTTATGGATATTTTTGTCCTTTTGACCTTGACCTTAGAGTTGACCCTCTTTTCAAAAATTAACCATGGTCGTAACTTTTGAACAGTTAGAATTATAGGGATTTCATATTTCATGGATGTATTCCTCGTGACAAAACCTTCCTTTTGATACCAACAAATTTTACCTTGATCTTTGGAGTTTAACATATATTTGAGAAAATTCAACTCTCGCTTTAACCCCTTTCGTGGCAAAGATTTTTAGCATTAAGATAAATTGCTATCAAAAATTTAATGCTTTTTTTCTGGTATTCATTGTAATTTTTTAAAATACTAATGTATATATATTTCGAAAGCAAGCATTACAAAGTTTCTGAAAATGACTAAAAAAACATTCTTTCCGTTGCCATGCAAACAAAATCACTTAAAAATCTCTATTAAATCAACAATTAGTCATTTTAGTTTTTTGTTTAGTAAAGTATTAACAAAGAGTAAATTTTACTGTTGAAACATAGCATATTGCATACCTGAAACATGTTTTATTTATATTCTTAACAAGATAATTATTTTCTAACACATCTTGTTGAGAAAAAAAAACTGATTTTGATAAAACATATTTTGTCACGAAAAATGGATAAGTGATTGTACCACGTGGATTTCAAACGCAGTAAGTATAACTAGATTAATACACCTTGTTTAACTATTTAAGATTCTAAAAAAACTGGTAAATCAAATGAGAAAAAAAGTTAAGAACAAATCTTCTTTGCAATTGTTTCTTCTTTCTAATGATACAAAAATTATTCCGATATTCACAGTATTAATGAAGTTATGTATCTATGTGTTTACACTAAACATGTTTTTCACAACAGATGCGTAGAAATGCGTATATGCCAAATACAATGTAAGAGGTTAAGCTGTCATACGCCACGAGGGTATCAGTGTTTCACTAACACATCTTTTTATGCGCCCGAATCAATAGATCCGGGGCGTATTTTGTTCTTGTCCTGTTTGTCTGTTTATCGGTTTGTCTGTCTGTTGTCAACTTTAACCTTCGCCATAACTTTTGAACCTTGAAAGATAGGAACTTCATATTTGGTATGCATACTCCACTAATTAGTTTCTTTCAAATGGCAACATGGTCAATGACATTGTGACCTTGACTGTGACCTACATGCTAAAAATAGCTTTTCGAACTTTATTGCCACCGGGCGCATAGTGTTTCTTATTCATAAAAAGTAATAAATATTTCATCGCTGCATCTTAATAATTTTAGAAAAAACATGTGGAGATCCAGGTGAAATAAACAATGGACAGGTGACCGGATCCACATTTACATACGACAGTACACTATCGTACCACTGCAATCAGTACTATAATTTGACTGGTGGAACCAGAACTAGGAGATGCCAAATCAATAGTATCTGGAGTGGTCGGAAACCCCGATGTGCATGTGAGTAAACTTTGAACCAAATCTTTCTTACATTCAAAGTTATGTCAAGCAAAATTGAAAACTAAGATTAAATCATTATTATTTTTATTCAATATCTCTTGGATTAATTTCAACTCTAAAGGTCCACAAAGATCCTATTGTACGCTGTTATTTTAAAAATGAAATAGGGTCGGGTTTTTTTTCTTTTATAAAATATTTCCCTGTTTTGCATCACATGTAGTTGTGAATTCCTGTGCTAGTAACCCATACCAAAATAATGGAACCTGTGTGGATGGTTTGGATCGATATGACTGCGTTTGTACAAAAAGCTTCACAGGGAAAAATTGTGAAACAGGTTAGCATGCTTTTACGTTCCCACAAATTTCTTGCAAAGCTACTTACATATTTTTTGTACAATCATAAACTTAAAGTACACTTAATTAAACTGCAAACAGATATACAACCTCCAGTGATGAGTGGTTGCCATGACAACAAGACGGTCTATTCTTCAAAACACGAAACTTTCCTTAACTGGACTGCACCTAGCTTTTACGACCCTGTAGGAAAGGAGTTAACGATTTCAACTAATTATCCCCAAAACAGCTGGAGTTTTCCATGGGGAGATTTTACAGTTCAGTATGTGGCTTTGAAACCCTCAAACGGTTTGCGAACAAGCTGTGTTTTCAATGTAAAAGTCCGACGTAAGTTGAATCCCATGATTTGATCCGCTTCATATTCAAATTTTCTGATAATTTTAAATTGAAGAAAATAAAAATGGATGGAAAACAGATTATGGTGAGTTTTGTCTGGTCTTCTGTGACCCTGAGTACAGTTTGGATGTTAGATTCAGCCATCACCAGTGGTATGTCTGTGGGGCGAGTGGTACATGGGCACCAGATGGAACGATGCCTAACTGTACAGGTACATGCATTATTCCCCTTTTAAAATTTGCTGTGAATCCTACTGTACCTTTGAAAGAAATAACTTTTTTATACCAAATTTTCAAAACGTGCGAATGGATTGAAAATTAAATTGCGTGGTCAAAATTTCCCAAGAGCAGCGCCTCTCCTCCACTTTTTCCCAGATCTATATTTATAATTTTTTAATTAACAAATTTTTATTGAAATGCGGCCCCTCCCTCCTTTTTGGTTATAGTATAGTCAAATAAAGGTAATGTATTTTTGAGTACAAAAAATTGGTACCGAAAAAAAGGAAGTTTGTTCAGGTACATGTAAGTTGATTTTTTTTCTCTGACTGCCCCAACTTTAAAAAACGATGATACAAAAAATATTTACAAAAAATATAGATTCTTTCAAAGCAGATGGAATTTCAAAAAACATGCATAAACCTTACAAAATATAACAAGAGACATACTTGAATGAATTCGATGTTAATCATGGCATTGGTGAGCTCTCAGGTCCTTGGATTTAACATTGTTTTTATATTTTCAAGGGAATTTTCTGACAAGGGAGACAGATGATGACAAATTCAGATACAGCAACTGCTCCTCAGGGGATCAGATCAGCGACATGCAAGAAACATATCTAATGACATTTCAGTCATCTATGTATGCTTACTTCTGCTCCAAATTCAGTGATCTTTGTCTCACAGAAAATGTTCTTGTTTTTTGTACATAATAATCAGATCACTGTTACACTATATTAGCGTACACCTAACATGTAGTTAAAATTTTACGGAAATTTCTACACAAATTCAATGTAAAGAAAAAGTAAATCTAGTTGAAGTTAAAAAGTGAAATTTCGTATTTTGTTAGCCTTTTGTATTATAATGCTTGATAAATGTGCAGAAAAAAATTACAAAATTATGAAAAGAGAAAAATCGTTCATAATGGAATGAGATGATGAACTAAGACAAACAAATTAGTTAATAATTCCAAAGCTTTCATTAAAATAATTGGCAGCAGTCGTCTAACCAAGTAGACCTACATTTTATCTAGGGAATAGAAAAGTCCCGGAGTCTCCGTTGAACAACGGAACTCTCCTTTGAAATCACAATTTAACTTTTTCACACAAGCACTTGTCCTCTCCCTCTTTTTCATTTTTTAATAATAAATCTGGAATCTGGTATATCGAAACACCTTTCGATCCCAGATTCCCCCCCCCCCCCCAATGGAAAGGGGAACATCTTCTAAGTGTCTGTGTTATTTCATTCATGAAAATTCAAAATATTTAAGTATATCATTGATAATTTTGTTCTCTATTATTACTTAAACAAGAGGCCCAGGGGCCACATCGCTCACCTGAGCAATTGGCTAGGAAAAAGCACATATCAGATCAGAACTAAAAGTTTACTGAGGGGGAAGGGGGCTTGAATTTTAACGCGCCAGGGGGTCATGATTTGAACAAACTAAAATCTACACTACCTGGGGATGATTCCATACAAATATCACTAAGCATGGCTTTGAAGTACTTGAAAAGAAGATTTTTAAAGTTTTTCCTATACTGAAGTATATTCCTAAAACTTTTATCGGCCATTTGGCCCCACCCTACCCCGGGGGTCATGATTTGAACAAAATTGAATCTACACTACAATGTACCTGAGGATGATTCCACATGAGTTTCATCTATCCTGGCCCAGTGGTTCTTGAGAAGAAGATTTTTCCTATATATTCCTATGTAAAACTTTGATCGGCCATTTTGGCCCCACCCTACCCCCGGGGGTCATGATTTGAACAAACTTGAATCTACACTACCTGAGGAGGATTCCACATGAGTTTCATCTTTCCTGGCCCAGTGGTTCTTGAGAAGAAAATTTTTAAAGATTATTCCTATATATTCCTATGTAAAACTTTGAAACTACACAATCAAAGGGTGCTTCCATATTTCTTAAAAATGAATCATGACTTTAGAAGATTTTACATGTTAAACTTTCAACTCTTCTAGTCCATCATTCTTGAAGGGATTTTTTTGAGACTTTTTCCTGTATATTCCTCTTCAAAACTTGTAAATTGGGTAAAAATTAAGTGAAAAAAGAAATTGCTTTTAAACAGAATGAGCACAAAGTTTTACATGTATTACATTAAAAGATTTTGTGAAAATATATTTATTTCAATCAACAAAATTAACTACAAAACAGTACAAATAACAATTCTAAAAATGGTTTCATATAGAAAAAACAAGAAGAGATAATATGTACACGTTTTTTTTTCAGTCTATCAGCTATCAGGTATAGATTAACAGTAATCAATGTAATTCATTACAGTTTGCTATGTGATCATGTGATCTATCGATCAGTAATGATGTTTTTTTCTGATTACAAGTCATTGTTACAGTAATATGATCAATTACCTTGGTTCTCTGAAAAAAGGTCTAGACAAGTATGGAATCTGGTAAGGGCCATTTAGTTCCATGTAGTTCACTATCGCATCATTAAACCATCGAGGTTTGGGTTGTTGGTGTGATGAAGCCATGGTGTGATAACAATAAAGCCATAGTGCAATAGCTTGATGGTGATGGGAGTGACTATTGATGACGATGATGCAATGGTACAATGAAGCTATATGATGACACAATGCTGTCAACATACCATTGCTTCACTGTCAGTGTGTTATTGGATTCTTGAGCCATCAGCCCTATAGTTGATGCTCGATTGTGCGACATTGAACTGCATGGCCCTATCCAGAATCCATAGTCCAGGGAAAATATTTTTTTAAAAATTTTATTTTTTTCGTCATTACAATGGTAAAATATAAATTACAAAGTGATATCTAACACTGAGATTCAGTCTAGAATTGTACCTATTGCTGTATCTTCTATTGTCTTCCACCATCTTTATAATTACATCCACATTGATTAAGCACTGACATTTTCAGATTCTTTTGCAATTCATCTAGTGTGTTTCAAATGACAAAATTCATTAGTTTAAATATAAATTAATATAACAAGCTCTTGAATCCAGTAAAACGAATTCAACAAATCTGATACAATAAAAATTCTTGATAATGATTCCAATACTACATTAAATGAACTAAATTAATTCACAAACAATTATTTAATACATCCAATTCAAAGTATTTTTTTATTAGTGCTGGATAGATTTTATGTTTAAGTCCCCACATTTCGCTAAGTATTTTTTTTTCTGTGCCATCAAGTTTGATACAAAGAGCTTTCACTGCATAAATAAGAAAAATGAAAAGTTTATTCTCACTGTAGATCCTTGATTTTTTACAATACCTTATTTTTGCAAGATAGGTATTAATTTTTTAATGTGCCATATTATCTTTTGTAAAAGGTACAAATAATGCGAGAATGATATTTTTGCCAGCACACTATCTCATGTTCTTATGCAAAAATAAAGTCCTCGCAAATATAAAGTGATTTAGTATCTCTTAAATCAAGGAACAATTTTTATGTACAGGTATGTGGATTCTCATTAAATGATGTATGGCATGCTTCTCATTAATAAATATACAGTTTGTCCTAATAATATTTCTTTTTATTTTAAGTTACTGATATGTTGTGGTTTCAAGATAGAATAGATTTTTGTACATATAAATAAATTTATACTATGCAAGACATTGTTACACTGAGTTGTGAAAATCAAATCTGATAAATCCTTAAAAAAAATCATCATCAGTTAGACTTTCATTGCTACCCTACAGATCTTGCACTTTTCTGACATCTGAAATAATGATTAAAAGTAAATGTCCACGTAATGATCACATTAGATAATAGCTGCAGATCTGTAGTGTTATCGTTTTATAATATATTTGTTTTTGACCATAACACTACAGATCCCGTAGTGCAAAAAAGGTGCAATTTATGGCACAATATTTTTTTGCGCACTATTGGTGAGAATTTCTCCACTTTCCAGCATCGGTCAATCAACTACCTTTCACTCCCTAATTCTAGACACATTTTCTAGCCAATATGTATATTTTATCCACCTCTCAACCATTTATAGTTGTCTCTATAGGCAATAAACTCGCTTGAAGTGAATTTTCAGCAATCTAACAAATAATTATAATCAAGCAAGTTTATTGCCTGTAGAGACGACTATAAAGGGTTGGGAGATGGATAAAATATACAGTTTAGTTAAATAATGTGCCTTGAATTAGGGAGTGAAAGGTAATTGATTGACCAATGCAAGAAATTCTCCCCAAAAGTGCGCAAAAAATATTGTGCCGTAAATTGCATCTTTTTTGCACTACGGGATCTGTAGCGTTAAGGTCAAAGACAAATATATAAAACCATAACGCTACAGATCTGCAGCTAATTAGATAACTATAAAGGAATAAACAAAACTTATTTCTCTAATTTACAACATGTGAAAATTGAACACAAAACAAAAATGAAATCATTAAACATCACATCAAGATTTGGTACCATGCTGTGCTGTTTGATATAAAGAAATTTTTTCAACAATTCTTAAACGATATTTTTAGAGAAAAGAAAAAAAAAATGGGTGAACATAGATGTATAATTTCAATCTACATTAAGAGTTTGTTCCCTTTGATTGGTCGAATACTAGGCTAAGCTATGATCGTATTCCTGTAATTGAGTATATATAATCACAATTATATCTAAAAATTTAAATTGTTATTTTCCAAAATCTCTGAATTCATGATCTACATATTTTCAAAATACCACCTTAATCAAAGATGTCAATAATTAACAGTCAAGTACATACTGTAACACACAAAAAACATGATTATTGATTTTAACATCATTTTTCATAAATAAGCTCCTTAACTATAATAAATAA